CCCTCTGGGCTGTCGAGCTCGCTTGCGAGCTGCCGGGAGCATTCGCGCTGGCCAGGCCTGGTCTAGACAAACTCAACTGATTCGCAAATGAAGAACGATCGAGGGGAGTCCCCAACCCGCCAGATGGAGCACGTGCTGAGTGCATTCTCGACGTCGAGTTGGGAGAACTTGTGTCTTCGCAAGTTTCTCTATCGAACGAGAAGCCACTGCGTCGGAGAAGTTTTCGCGGAGTTTGCATCGCGGAAACGTCGTCGTTGTACGATTGTCTAATTCTGAAATGCAGGTAAAGTTTGCGGGAAAAGAATGTTTGGCAAACAGGAACTTTCGAGGTAGGCACGAATGTAGATTTCAAACAATACTGATAGATTCATTCTTCCGTATATCACCAAAATATCTCAACTTTTCACTGATATATAGTGAACATAAAGTGTAATTTAAAAACCATATATAAAATAAAATGAACGCGAAATCGCCCCCGTTCCCATGTCTCCTGTCTCCTCTTACCCTTTGTTGCCTCGTCTCATCTGGATGTCAATAGTATTTACTCGTTCTTCCTCGTGTCCTTGGCCTCCTTCACTCCCACTCGTACTCGTGTTCTATCTTTCTCGTGCGTCATTTTTGTCATTCTTTGCTCTCTTACTCTTTTCGTGTTCTACCATCATATTATTATCTTCTTTCCTAATATTTTTTCACTATTCTACGAGCCATTCTTCTCCTTTTCACCCGACATAATTACCCCTCACCTCGCCGCTAAACTGTTTTTCCTATTCGTCACCTAATATCAAAATTGTATCGTAAGAAATGTTTATAAAAATATATTTAAAATATAAGAAATAGCCTAGAAGTCTAAATAAATGATATGATACAAAGTTAACCTGTTTTGCTTCTCACTATTCTCTTTCCCTCTTGCGAACTCACCTCTTCTTTCCATACCTATATCCATTACTCTTGCGTATCTTTCCTTCACTCCCTCGTTTTTCTCCTCTACGCCTCTCCCAACACCCCTCGTCCCCCTTTCTCCGTTCTTTCTCTTTCTCCCCTCTTCGCCCACGTCGTCACCCATCTGTTTCGAAATGAGTGAGTGGCTGAGTGTTAAATCCGGGGGCAACTAATATCTCCAATCACGTAATCGCAGTGCGATTTGTTTCTCAGCAGTTGGCAATGTTCTTGCCCCTCTGGAACACGAGATTCGGTGACGAGGAGTTTCTCCCTCGAGATATATCGGAAGAGGTGGACTAGGGTATCAACTAATGTCACATGTCATGATGGCAGTCCCTCTGATCGGGAGGTATTGTTTCGAGATCGGATGGTGGCAGAATTTTCAAAACTACGTACCTAGGACGAATTCTGTCGTTGTCTGGAGGAGAATTCTAGGGGCCGGCTGCTTTGATCGATATATTTCCGTAGTTTCAACGATCAAAACCAGCAGAATGTTAAAACAATACCCTAACAAGCGGGCTTCGGTCAATGCACGATCTTTCCTTCCTCTTCCTCGTCATATTCTCACCCCTTACACACACACTTTCATGCACTACACTATCACACATGCCGGACGAAAACTTAGAGCTTGTCCCGTGTGGGGCGGGGTCCCGCTGGTGGGAGATACCTGGTTGGAGAAATACCGCAACCTGACGATAGGTCGGCGCCGGTTCTCACCATTCGGGATAGGGAGATCACCCCCACCACTCGAAGAAAACACATGCTCTCACCTAGGGGACTAATGACCTTAGCACCCGGAAACACTAATCAATCAATCAATCCAGTTGTTCCTTATTCCCTTTCTCCTCGCACCATCGCCACCCTTCACCGCTATGCGTTCGTTGCCGCTGTAACGTTTGCAGACAATCTTTCTCGTCCCACGACTCGACCTCTCCTACAATAAAAAGATGCACTACACTAAGGGGACTAATGACATGAGCAGTTTGCGCACCCGTAATCACCTATCAATCAATCCAGGTATTTCCCCCAGCTCCCCATCGACCCACCCGAGACAAGCTGTTAGCGCCTGAAGTGCACGGTCGTGTCAGTGTGTGTGTAGTCATGCAAGTGTCAGTGTGTGTGTAGCAGTGGACTGGTAAGGATGAAGTAAAGATCGGGCACGAACCATGGCCTGATTGATAAGTCACTGCTCCGGTTTTCGTCTGATATTAATAGGAGAAACCACGTGCCTAGCAGATCACCCGGCCACTAAAATTGTTCGTCACGCAGTGATTGAATTCGGCTATTAACTAGTGTCAAAAATTCGCCAGCTATCTACTAGTGCCAACTCCCTTTCGTCTCCCTCGCCCACAACTTTTTCCTTGTCCTCTCACCTTTCTCGACCTCTTTCGTTCTCTTACCATTCGTCACCCTCCATCCCGCTCGTCTTTTTTATCTCTCTGCTTCACCCCTGGCTCCTCTGCATTACGTCATTTCCACAAAACTCCGTAAGCTGTAAAGAATCCCCCAGGTGAGTTTCAATTTTGGATGAGTGATCGATTCAATTTCCTCTTCTTTTCATTATTCATTACTACCGTTTTCCAAATCCCATCGCAACCTAAGTGTTCCATACAACAAACTCCTTCGCAGGGCATCACCCTCTCGACATGTGCTCAGATCACGAGAGAGTATGTTCAGCCTCATACAAAATAAGATTTCTTTTTCTAGTCTTGGTCATGATTTCACTTTCTCGCTACTACTCACGCAGTAGAGAGAAAGTTATATAATGCTGCTCGAAAAAAAGGCACATTTTAAACAGAAAAACTCTTACTGGGCGCTGATAACGCAAAAATGGATATATCCAGTTGCTAAATTCTGTCCGTCCGTGTGTCTATTCGTCTGACCGTCCGTCTGCAAACAACGCTAGCAGCTAAACAGTTCCACCGAGTTTCACCAAAATTGATAGCCACTTGAATTTGAAACCGAGATTTTAATTTTCGGTGTTCTTTACATAAAGACCCTGAAACAGTTTCCTAATTTTCAAAGAAATGGCTGCATCGTTGTTCATTAAAGTTTGATGTTGCATAGTGTGAAGGAAGTTTAAGAGAATGGTAGAGACCTCATATTCGTTGAAATCCCTTATTTTCGAAAACTGCAAAAGTTCAAAATTTTTTTGGCTCATTCCTTCAATTAAAATAGTAAAGATAGAGGTTTTTTTTCCTTAACGAAATGTTTCTTTAAGATATATTTTGAAATAAATCATGAGCATTATTTCAAAAATATAAAATGGAATGTAAATAAACTCAACTAGGAAACAATGTGACATTTTGCCAAGTTTCCGTCATTTAAATGAACTCACTTCCCGTCCAGAGAAAAGCTCTGCAACGGGACTTAAAGCCGCATGTCGAATACGTAGCGGCGGTCCCCGCATTTCTCGCTCGTGGCTTGCGTTCAGCGTTATCAGCCCTCGCCGAGCTGCGCTGGAGCGCGAGGCCTCCTACCGCTGAGTTCGCAACCACCGTGCGTCAACATGCCGAACAGCCGGACGCCATTGTGATGGTTGACTGAACGTTGTTAGTATGACGGACGCGTCAACTTACTAACGGCGTTAAGTCGTAGCTGATATGTGCAAGGTTTGCTTGGGGAGGCTGTGGATCTCTCCCCTCATGTATGCAAGATCCGGCGCCCACCTACCAGTCGGCTAACGGCGGTTATTCCTAATCAGTGTATTTCCTCAGCTCCCTCGGCCGGACACTCTGCA